AGGAGAATGTATGAAATAGTGGAGGTGAGTGAAGAAAGAGTGAGAGAGAGAGAGAGAGAGAGAGAGAGAGAGAGAGAGGCTATGCTGCATCCTTAACATTTGAATCATTAATCTTTCATCAAAGTCTGAGAGAGGCAAAAAAGAGCACTGCCCATTCTGGTAAATGGAGAGCTACAGATGGACAGCATTATGAAAAAGAAAGCAGCAGTTGAGATTCAGTAAGGCACTAGAACACGAAAATGCATTTATCAGGTGAAAGTGAAACAAAATGATCCAATATTTGTTGGTTTCTTTTGTTAAGAAATTTCGGTGCTATGAAAACCATGATAGCATATAATTCCTTATTTTGTTATACTTAGAAACCAATTGCTAATGTTCTAGGAATGCTGGGATAGATTCTTAAGGCCTGTTCACACCAAGAACGATATCTATAAAGATTCTGAATATATTAGAGTCCACACCAATGTTCAATATCATTCTTTTTATTATAAGCGTGCTGTTGTTTTGTCATCTACTGCTTTAAATGCTCAAGGTCTTTAAAAGTCGGGTGGATTCTGATGGGCTGTCAGTGAGTGTGTTTATTATTCATCAGCTGGAAAAAATCATTCTGAAAGTGATTCCAACAATGTTGTTGCTCTGTGTCATTATTGTTATAGTTATTGTCCTTGGTGTGAACGGGCCTTTACTGTAAAATAATAATAGTAAAAATAATAAGCAAGAGAACATATAAGAAGCAGCTTTAAACACTATCATGGAACATATTTTTGTGTCCAAAAACATCAGGTCCAAATGTGCAGTTATGTCTAATCATGAGTCCTATATCTCACAAAGCAGCATCAAGCAAATGCAGCAAAACAAGACAGGCTATGTCACTTGATGAATGGCAGATCTGTCCTTATGTTGGGACAGAAATTAGGAAACGTACCCATCCAGTATTTGTGTCAAAGCTTATTTTTGTACATCCCAGATCTTTTTCTGATCATGCTTTTATCAAAGCAAATGATGGATGATGCACACAGACATAGCATTGCCTACCAGATATAACTTTTACAGGCTTGATGAGGAGCAGAGAGCAGTGTATTAAACTAAAAGAACGTCCCACATAATACAGTGTGACATCTCTTAAACTTCCCTTATTTACAGTAAATAATTTATAGGAAAGGAGTATTGCAAATAGTTATTCGGGGGTAAAATGTAGCTTTTGGTACAACTTTTGCTTTCTCGCCAAAAGGACTTTCTGTATCTGCTGAAATGTTGGATGAGGCACCTCAGTGTTACACCTGTAATACAATGGCGATTAACTGTGCTCTGCTTATTGTTCAGTAAATAATAATACACAAAATTAAATTAAAGTAAATAAATCCCCCCAAGATATGTAAGGACATCTCAGAAAATAAAAGAAAAATGTATTGTGAGCAACATTTATTGTTAGCAATATAACTGAAAGCGTATCTTTCCCTGTGTTGATTGGAACGTTCAGTGGTGTTTTGTGTATTTGAGCGCCATCTGGTGGTAAACGTTAACTATCATTAGGCTATAACGTGAGTCCTCATCAGAAAGCACCGTCCGCGGGATCAGGTGATCTCCGTAACAGGTAGTTTTGTATCCTTCCAAATAAAATAGTTTTCCTCATAAACCTTTTTCATTCCATTTTCAGCAAGCTTTTCGATCGAAAATAAGTAATTACGGCCTGAAAAGACTGTAAAGCATGCATTATTCAGAAAAATATTAACTAAATAAGATGATGTATTGTAACTTATATCTTATGCAGCGGAGGGATACAGATGAAATCAGGTTAACGGCCAGTCGGGAGTTAATTAAACATTTGGAGCTTCTCGAAGAACAAGAACGGGTAAGAGTTGGTCGTCGAGTTCTAAGTTTTCATCGACATTATACACACACACACACACATATATATATATATATATAATTAGCCATTTAATTGCTCCTGATAACATTTACGTTAGATGATTACCCCTTAATAATGTATTTTGTAGGACCAATCATTTGCACGCGTCACGTGCAAACCTGTCAGAGGGCTCGTAATACCACTGATAATTGCATTAAGCTTATAAACGGTCTTACATGGTAAACAAAAGACCTTGAGAAGAATCTTAAATCTGGGGACAAAAAAAAAACAGGATCAAGATACAGTCTGATGTGATGATTAAACTTAAAAGGCTATGAGTTTAAATATGAGTGCTGCATGTTTCCAATTAAAAATGCAGTTTGCAATCGGTGGATTTATGTTAAGTGATTAATACTGTTGAATTAAGACAGTTTACTGTATTCACAATATATAGTCCTAGTGTATTTTGGGCTTATTTCATATTTAAAAGTCCACATTATGCATCAAATCTTTTTTTCAGGTTATTGGTGTTTTGGTTGCACAAATTGTATCTGCCATTTAATTCAGTATAAACTCTTGTAGCTTCTCTCTGGGCCACGTTGTCATAGGGAGGAAAGATTAAGAACATTGTTTAACATGTTCAATGTATAGATTTTTACTAATGTCTACACAGTATTTTTTTGCTTTTCTTTAAACACATTATCATTGTTTAAGTAAAATCCGATATCAATCGACCTCTAATTTGCATGTATTGATATACTAGTACATAAATCAATTTCAAGAAATATGTGTGTATTGAATAAAACATGTCTTGAGGTTTTAAAAAGTCTTAGATTTTGTTTTAAAAACTGAACAGATACCTTAATATTAGCCATTTTCATTCGTAAAATAATGCAAACTGCTCACCTTTATTCTGTACTACATCTGCTTTCATTCAGGTACGATTTCTTCATAGTAAGTCAGGCTGTGCACTTTGGTTGTGTCGCACCTATTCACTACAACGTGGTGTTCAACAGTAGCGGCTCAAACCAGATCACATGCAGAGACTCACCTACAAACTCTGCCACATGTACTACAACTGGCAGGTAATAACCAATGTAGATCACTACATCAGTATCACACTACTGTTAATAGTCTATAATATTATGTACTGTCTTACATATTCTTCTTGGTTGACTTTCTTCCTTTTTATGTTAAGGGTATCGTCCGAGTGCCAGCACCATGACAGTACGCCCACAAACTGGCCTTCCTGGTTGGTCCGAGCATTCACAAGGAGCCCAACATGAACCTGGATGACTTCTTGTACTACCTCTAACCTGCTTAAGTGATCAGTTTCAGGGTCTCAAAGAATAATAGGGCCATTTTTATTAGTTTATTTTCCAAGTAGATTGAGTTGTGTGAAGAAGTACACTGTCAGAAGAATGTTTGTTTATATACCTACATGTGTTTTCAGAGAGAAGCAGGTATAAAGTTGTTTTCTGTTTGTAAGGGGAAATGCATATGGTCCTACTTTTTTTTAATCTTTCTAATGTTCACTTGAATTGTTCTGGTGTCTAGTGAATATAGACCATGTTTTGTGTGTGTGTGTGTGTGTGTGTGTGTGTGTGTGTGTAAAGGGATGGTTCAAATTGCAGATTTCTTGGATTTTATGTTTAGAGGCCCTGATTGTTAATAGAATTAAGTAAACATTTATTTTCTGGTTTCCGGTATAAAAGTTGAATGGTTATATCTGATTAATACCTTCGCGTTCGTGTACTATATGCATGTATGGGTTTTCATGTTTTTCACACAATTAAATATATTGATGCTCTGTTTATCAAAATTGAATTGTAGTATGATTATAGCATAAGACAAAAGAAAGGTAAGGAAGGTTTACACAAATCAGAAACATTGGGAAGAGCTGAAGTTCAGAAAGTGGTCATTTAGGATTGTATTGATGTGTTGAAGGGATTCGTCAGATTGAGTTTTATTGTGCACTGATAAGAAGAATAAAGCTCAAGTTAACGTGGCTTGGCTCTTTAATTTGCCACAATTGAGCTCATAGTGACGAAGGATTTGATAAAACGATGGCATTAATAAATGTACATGGACAGGTGAACATGTCATGCAAAATTGAATAATTGTTATTTTGGCATTAAAGTTTATTGTGGACAACCCAGTTTCCTTCGTTGTCACCGTCTGAATTCGTATTGCTAATTGCTGAAAACAAGAAGAGAAATTCCTCTATGAACTGTTTACTAAACGAGTAACTGCAGGTGGCGCATGAATCTGCCATTCAGCAGCATTGACATCTTAGAACAATATTTATCTTAATGCAGTCATTTACATTGAATAATTGTTATTTTGGCATTAAAGTTTATTGTGGACAACCCAGTTTCCTTCGTTGTCACCGTGTGAATTCATTGACATCTTAGAACAATATTTATCTTAATGCAGTCATTTACATATTCTAAAATAATCGAAAGTGTTGTTCCTTGACACATACAAGTTGAAATATGCCCGTCTACTTTATATAAAGGCTCAAGTACACGGCAGCTCAATTGGTAAACTAAAATGATTTTGATTGGCCCCTTCTGAAGAGTGCTGAGAAAAGTAACAGACATCACGTGACAACGTCTTCTATGTGCTGCGTCGTCGGGACTTTAAATTTTCACACTTGAATAATGACAATGAGAATCGTAATATCCATTTAATCGAAACGCACAGTAAATAGTAAAGAAATATCAAATACAACTATTAACCTGACAACGCCATGCTGTTTCTATGGTTACTACCGCCCTGTTTCAGCCGAACTGACAGGACGGTGAATCAGAAGGAAGGGAACCGAACAGACACACAGCGCCTCATAACTGGATACCTCTTTGAACGTAAACACCTTATTTATAAGCTTTTATCGATAAGTTACGAACCCCAAAGGTTAATTCATGTACTTTCTCCGACATACATTAGTTTCTCACGATCTGGTCAGGCTTTGCAATGGACTTTAACGCGCGCGGACCGAAAGGGACGTGAACAATCAACAGAAGATAATCGACATTGTTATGAGGGACCGACTGGCTGATTTGAGTGGGGCAAGTGATTAATAATAAACCAATTAGACTAATTGTTAACATCGTCAATAATATATTGATATCAATGTTTGTACTTACAAAAATACAACATTTTACATAAACTAGCTCATATTTGGGAGTAACGTTAACGTTCTCTATTGCTTATGTCTACTTCCCGTGCTCACATCAGTGTAACTAGTGGTCGTTCTCCATGCTTGAGGCATGTGTAACTTTGAGGCTTGTTTTAGGGCAGGCAAAGTGCCAGTGAAGATGGGGGTGTCACTGTGTCGGTGGAGAAAGATGGCTTCATGCAGGACTTTTTCAGAAAGGTGCAGTCATTCACCTGTATGACAGATGCTCCTCTTCTGTACACTATATATCGGTGATGGACCGTCCTTTGGGATGCATTGAGATGCTTTAAAATTCTGGCCGAATAATCTTATTATGAAAATCTGATAATTCTTTTCATGTTTGCTCATTACTAACAATTGTCTGATATTTTAAATCTAGTTTAGTTGGCTGCCAGGCAATATTTCTGATTTTAATTTAAAGTTTTTCATTTTCATTTAATACTAGTTTCATTTTATTTAAGCTATATTTCAGTTAAAGAAAACTATTTTATTTTAGTTTTGGTTAACAATAGCAACACTGGAATCTTTTGCACTTTTTAAATGAACACATAAATTAAATCATTAATAAAAAAATAGTCTTAAATTGTACCACTGATATTAGGCATCACAGCATTACAGTGTACAGCATGACATTTATTTTTAGACAATATGTCACAAGGGTTGCTGGTATTGTCTAAAAATAACTGTTCTTCTTTTTTCCCCATGCACCTTGTTGATCGTGTGAAGTTACACCAGAACAATTACACCGCATGACATCTTTAAAAGAGAAATTTCATAACAAAAAAGGTTGTAACATGCATCCATAGTAGTTCACACTAGGGTAGTTACTAGTTAGTAGTGAGCACACTATAGTAAAACCATTAAAGAATACTGTGTTTCTGAACTTTGCTTCGCTTTATTTCAGGTGGAGGAGGTCAGAGGTGTCATTGATAAGATCTCTTCCCTAGTTAATGAGGTGAAGAAGAAACATAGTGTGATCCTTTCAGCCCCCAACCCTGATGAGAGTAAGTCATCATTAACCAAAGACTGTGAAATATGAGTAACAAGGTGGTGCTGGTTGGCAGGTTGAAGTGGTTAATGAACTATCACCTTTGAGCCCTTGAGCGAGGCACTTAACCCCAGTTTGCCCCAGTGAGATGTCCCTGCAGTAAGTGTACTGTGAAAGACTTAGTTCACCCAAAAAAAAAAAGTTGTCACTATGTAGTAGCCAATGAAACAGTAGCCATTGACTGAAAAAAAATTACTATGGAAGTCAAATGGCTACAATCAACTGTTTGATTACCAGCGTTCTTCAAAATATATTTATGTTCAGCAGAAGAAAATAATGACAGGATTTTCATTTCTTTGTGAATAATACCTTTAGGTCTTATTTAACATCTTTTTAAACCAGTGTTAAGGCCAGTTTTAGCCATGTTTCACATTCTTCACCTTATAAGTGGGTTAAAATGACACCACAGATAGTTTATAGATCTTGTTATTTGTAAATTTGTCCAAATTACTCACTTAATTTTAGCTTTCAACCTCTTTGTTTTATTACATAATGGATGACTATGGCTTCGCGTCATTCTCCTGTTGTCTATGACTGAGCGCACATTCAAACTTTCCGTCATTCATTTATATTCACACAAAAAAAACAACTGATACTCAGGGTTTAGCCCAGAACAAAGGAACGTTTTTGTAACTCTGCCCAGAAGCACATAGCCTTATAACAGCGCAAGACCATGGGATTCCTCTTCCAGAAATATCACATCACATTACTCTTTACCAGTACACTCAGGAACCAGGAAAACTGCTTTAGGGAAGACATTTTTCACATGTATTGCACACACACCCACCGTTTTACTTGGAAGCATTTGTAATATCTAACTAGTGTTCATGGCTATTGTGAATGATGGTGTCTACCCATATCGACTATATGTATAGAAAATCATTCAAATGAATAAGAAAATGAGACCACAAAAAAGTTACAATTGGGAGTCAAGTTTGGGCATGCAAGGAATTGTAATTTTCCCCATCACATTCTTAATTTTCAGTGAGTGTGTTGGGTTAGTTATGCTGTTACTTGCAGTGCATGTATAGGATGTGGAGGCAGGAATGTGAGATTGAGATAAAGACATCTGTGAGGGTGTGAGTGTTTCTGCAACAAACTAATATATGCTAATTTTTCTTCTACACACAAGTGTAATATTTCTTTGTGATATATGTTCAGTGAATCCTCAAGTTGATAGTAAAATTGGAATATCTGTTTGAGGATTGTGCTAATGGATGTGTAATATTTCTCCTTTTTAAGAGTCAGCACAGCCATCTGTAGTTACTTTTCTTCCATATACCTGCGTGCATTTTATATTTTCACATATAACAAACCACAATATTTCTCCAACATGACACATCATAATGTAAGAGTGCTGTACATGGGCACAATTGTTCTGGAACGGTTATCTCTGGGAGAGAAAAAAACTCACATTTTGATAGCCGATTTTTAGTTTAGCACATGTGAGTTGCATATCAAGTGAACATCAGGCCCTGAAACATCAGGAAAGAGTCTCAATGTAATTTAATCTGCAATGTAATTTAAGCAGTTTTTGGAAACTGTAAATAACATTGAGAAGAATGTTTATTTGAAATCTTTTGTAACATGAATGTCTTTAGTGTCACGTTTTATAAATTGAATGCATCCTTGCTGAATAAAATTATTAATTTCCCTTATTCTAAAATATGCCTTTGCTTTCAGGAACAAAAGAAGAATTGGAACAGCTCACAGTGGAAATCAAGAAACATGCCAACTTTGTCCGGTCCAGCCTCAAATGTGAGATGAATGTTCTGCTTTGGCCTGTTGAGGATAGTGAAGATAAGAGTACCATTGCACTTGGACAAGAAAATTAATTGAATTCTCATCCATTTTCTTCTTAGCAATGCAACAGAATCTACCTCCAGATGAACAGATGAATCAAGCCTCAGTGGATGCACGCATTCAGAAAACACAGGTATTAAATCTTTGCCTCTTTTTTTTTTCATCCAACCATCCAGTACAGTCATTTTTAATCCCAAATTGATCTAATGCCCTTATTGTCTCTCTTTTTTTTAGTACACTAACTTGTCACGTAAGTTTGTAGAGGTCATGACGCGATATAATGAAGCCCAAATGTCATTCAGAGAGAAAAGCAAAAGCAGGATTCAGAGACAGCTGGAGATCAGTAAGTCACACATGAGTAACTTCATACATTCACAAGCACATATGTACATACGATACCTTAAAACTAGCTTACTAAACTAGACCATTAACAGCTGACAAAATCTCCACCCAAACATAAAAGCTGCTGTCAGCTAATGAAGATTTGACAGATGAACTTACGGTTCGATTGGACTCTTGTCGTGTCAGAAAGTGATAAGACTTTCAGTTTTATGGACGTCGCCATCTTTGATATTACTTTGGTCACTGTCACTATGGTAACTGGTAAGGAAAACGGGCTTGACTCCCGTTGCACATTCATACAGACAGTATTCGAGACGCTAATGTAAGTTGCTGTGTGAACGGGACATTTTGAGTCTCACACCTGTAAGTAAATGCTGTTGTCAATCCCAAAAACTGACAGTATGAATGTAGCCATAGAGATTTTTAAAAAGTCTTAGATTTATATTGGATATACATTAGATAAATTGGATATTTTATTGTGCATCTTATTTCCTCTTTTTATATTTAGATTACCTTCCCATAGGGGTGTAACGTTACATGTATTTGTCCCGAACTGTCACGGTATGGAGTCACGGTTCGGTTTATGCAGTCAGACAACAAATACAGTCAGTCATAGGCAATCAATCCTGAAGGGGGTATGCGCCGTAACGCAACACTAACCGTCACAACAGGAAAGAGCAGAAGAAGAAATTATCTATGCACCAACCCAAAATAAGAATGGCGAGTCCAGATGGCACACAAGAGATCTAAGAACCACCTGCTTGTTTTAAATCAGCACTGTGGGAAAGTTTCCGGCAATAAATCGGAACCGTTTTTTTACTCCGGTGTCTGATGTAACATAATTTCACAAATCTCAAATCAGACCATTCTGTTTTTGCATTAAAGGCACAATATGTAAGATTGTTTTATTAAAATATCCAAAAACCACTAGAACAGTGTTATATATTTTGCTGACTTGTGTACTTACATTATCCCAAATGTTTCGAAGAATGTTTAAATCCAGAGAAATAAGCAATTTTAACTAGTGACACGGACCGTCCATAGTGTCACTGTGTGGCCTGCCAATGACGTCATAACCCCTCGATTTCAGGTTTTGTTTTGTAGAAAACATGGAAACACCAAAGACGCTTTAAAGGGTCCTATTATGCTTTTTCACTTTTTTAATTTTAGTCAGTGTGTAGTGTGTATGTTTGGGCATAAAAAAGATCTAGAAAGTTACAAATCTCAAAGTCCACTCCAAAGGGAGATATTTAGTTTAAAAAAAAAAAATCAATTTTCAAGAACTACAGCAAACGGCTTGTTTGGACTGTAGAGGTCATGACGCGATATAATGAAGCCCAAATGTCATTCAGAGAGAAAAGCAAAAGCAGGATTCAGAGACAGCTGGAGATCAGTAAGTCACACATGAGTAACTTCATACATTCACAAGCACATATGTACATACGATACCTTAAAACTAGCTTACTAAACTAGACCATTAACAGCTGACAAAATCTCCACCCAAACATAAAAGCTGCTGTCAGCTAATGAAGATTTGACAGATGAACTTACGGTTCGATTGGACTCTTGTCGTGTCAGAAAGTGATAAGACTTTCAGTTTTATGGACGTCGCCATCTTTGATATTACTTTGGTCACTGTCACTATGGTAACTGGTAAGGAAAACGGGCTTGACTCCCGTTGCACATTCATACAGACAGTATTCGAGACGCTAATGTAAGTTGCTGTGTGAACGGGACATTTTGAGTCTCACACCTGTAAGTAAATGCTGTTGTCAATCCCAAAAACTGACAGTATGAATGTAGCCATAGAGATTTTTAAAAAGTCTTAGATTTATATTGGATATACATTAGATAAATTGGATATTTTATTGTGCATCTTATTTCCTCTTTTTATATTTAGATTACCTTCCCATAGGGGTGTAACGTTACATGTATTTGTCCCGAACTGTCACGGTATGGAGTCACGGTTCGGTTTATGCAGTCAGACAACAAATACAGTCAGTCATAGGCAATCAATCCTGAAGGGGGTATGCGCCGTAACGCAACACTAACCGTCACAACAGGAAAGAGCAGAAGAAGAAATTATCTATGCACCAACCCAAAATAAGAATGGCGAGTCCAGATGGCACACAAGAGATCTAAGAACCACCTGCTTGTTTTAAATCAGCACTGTGGGAAAGTTTCCGGCAATAAATCGGAACCGTTTTTTTACTCCGGTGTCTGATGTAACATAATTTCACAAATCTCAAATCAGACCATTCTGTTTTTGCATTAAAGGCACAATATGTAAGATTGTTTTATTAAAATATCCAAAAACCACTAGAACAGTGTTATATATTTTGCTGACTTGTGTACTTACATTATCCCAAATGTTTCGAAGAATGTTTAAATCCAGAGAAATAAGCAATTTTAACTAGTGACACGGACCGTCCATAGTGTCACTGTGTGGCCTGCCAATGACGTCATAACCCCTCGATTTCAGGTTTTGTTTTGTAGAAAACATGGAAACACCAAAGACGCTTTAAAGGGTCCTATTATGCTTTTTCACTTTTTTAATTTTAGTCAGTGTGTAGTGTGTATGTTTGGGCATAAAAAAGATCTAGAAAGTTACAAATCTCAAAGTCCACTCCAAAGGGAGATATTTAGTTTAAAAAAAAAAA